GAAGCGAGACTGATACGAAGCAAAGGTCAAGCAAAGCTTTATTTCGCGCCAAGCATGGAGAATCAAACCAACCGGTCAGGGCCACCTCTTACAGAGAGGGCGACCCCTCCCAGCCTTACAGACTAACTTTTAAAGGGCAAAGGCCATGTGGTTGAGCCTGGTCACACACAGGTGGCCAATGAGATTGTAACACACATAGAAAGTTGCATAGTCATGCTAGGTCACACACGGTGGCCAACTGAATTACAATTTACTCTACAGTAGCTATTTGAACCAGCCTATCACCTTGGTCAGAATTGTCACCCAAAAGGCGCCCAAAAGGCGGGGCCCACACTCCTTGGTAGCTGGGGAGACAGTATGTGCACTCCACTGATTGGACGTCTCTACCTGGCCTGACCCGCCCTTGTATTTGGGCTCTGTTACCTGGGACTGGCTGACCGTATTTTACTAGTTTCATGGACTTGCTTTTAAGTAAGTCCCCTGGCAGGGGGCAGGGTCAGGTTGAGTTTTACTGAATACACAACAAAATGGCTGTTCAACTGAGATGGAGCCGCTCTGGCTAAATAGGCCCTGACAAAATATTTAGTGAAAGAGCCACATCTACCTCCTAGGAAAAAGGAAATACAGGTTCATGAGATGGGAGGTCCAAAGGAAGTACCTGAGAGCAGTGTTGCCCATTTGTCTCTCAGAGCAGAAGGCAGGTAGAGTGTCTTTGATATATACTACTCATTGTGGCTTATACAGTAGAAAAATGAGGCATGTGGCATATTCCCATCTCTTGAGATTTAGGAGTTTGTATCTATTCATCCATTCATAAACATTTCATAAATTGTTTGACTTCAGGGTAGATTTTTTTTTAAAGATTTTTATTTATTTATTTGACAGAGAGAGATCACAAGAAGATGGAGAGGCAGGCAGAGAGAGAGAGAGAGAGAGAGAGAGAGAGAGAGAAGCAGGCTCCCTGCTGAGCAGAGAGCCCGATGCGGGGCTCGATCCCAGGACCCTGAGATCATGACCTGAGCCGAAGGCAGCGGCTTAACCCACTGAGCCACCCAGGCGCCCTAAGGGTAGATTTTATACCATAAGAAAACACAGAGAATCTAGAGATAAGTAAAACAAAGTCTCTTTTGAGACTGGCTTCTCTCAGCATAAAGATTCTGAGAACCATCTAAGTGGTGTGTGTCTGTAGCTTGTCCTCTTTTATTGCTGACTAGGATTCCATCCGATGGATCCACCATACTTTGTTGCTGCTTCTGTTCTTAGTTTTACATCCCTAATTGATGTTTCTCATCTCATTGCATTGGCTAAAACCTCCACCATGATGTTGAATGGTAGTGGTTGGACACACTTGCTTGGCTCCCAATATGTCTTCAGTGATTCCCAGTGAAGTAAGTGAGATACTCGGCCATGGTAGTCTATGATTTGTGTGTGTGTGTGTGTGTGTCATTTTCAGCAAGTATTCTCCAGCCACTTTTTTCTTGAGTGAATAGCTATCCTATTATTTATCATGAATAGCTAATAAATTTTGTCAAAAGCTTTCAAAAATCATCTATGGGAATAACATTTTGATTCTTTTTCATTATATCTATTAATAAGGTGAATGGTAATAACAGATTTTCTAATAACAAGTTGATTTTTCATTTCTGTTTTAAATCCTGTTTGGTCATGATGTGTCACATTTGATAATGTGGTGCTACAGTCTATCTGTTAATATTTTCTTTCATATTTTTGTATTGATACTCATGAGAGATATTGGTTTATAGTTTAATCCTTTTGTACAGTGTTTCTTAAGCTTAGATATTGATGCTGTACTTCTTTTAAAAAAGCAATTAGGGAAACTTTCCTTCATTTCCAATGTTCTGGAACATTTTACAGAGCACTGGGACTATCTAGACTTTGAAGGGTTGGAAGGATTTCCATGCAAAACCATCTGGCCCTTGTGCTTACTTTTCACCATGGTTCCTGAATGGCTTTATCTCTCTTTTCCATGTAAACTGGTCTATTTCTAGTTTATCTCTCTGGTGGTGACAGATTTGGTGATGGTACTTCTCTAGGAAATTATCCATTTAACCTTTACTTGCAAAGAGGTCTTCAAATGTAAAAATTTCCTCTAATTCAGGGGTCATTGCCCTCTTATCATTTTGAAAATTTTATTTGTGCCCCTTTCCCTTTTTTTCCCTTGAAAAATTAGTTTAATTTTTTCCAACAAACAAGAATTTTAATGTGTTAACTAAGTCTAGTGGTTTTTTTTAAGATTTTATTTATTTATTTGACAGAAAGAGAGATCACAAGGAGGCAGAGAGAGAGGGGGAAGAAGGCTCCCCACTGAGCAGAGAGCCTGATGCAGGGCTCAATCCCAGGACCCTGAGACCACGACCTGAGCCGAAGGCAGTGGCCCAATCCACTGAGCCACCCAGGTGCCCCAAGTCTAGTGTTTTGTATTCTCTACTACATCAACTCTTGTTTCTATCCTTATGATTTCCATATTGTGCTTTCCTTTGGTTTTTTACTTCATTGTACTTTTTTAGTTTTCTCTTGAGGGGGGAACTGAATTGAATCATTTCCATTATTTTTATTGAAGAAGTCTCAGGTGCTGTGCATTTTCTTTCCCTCTTTAAAAAAAAGAGAGATTTATTTGTTTGTTTGTTTGTTTGTTTGTTTAAGAGAGAGAGCTCATGTGGGGTGGAGGGCACAGGGAGAGGGAGAAGTAGACTCCCCATGAGCATGGAGCCTGATGCAGGGCTCGATCTCCCGACCTTGAGATCATGACCTGAGTCAAAATTAAGAGTTGATTGCTTAACCAACTGTAGTACTCAAGAGCCCCAGTGTGCACATTTTCTTAAGCATTATATCTCTGATATAGATTTGTGAGAAGGGACATGAGATAGGGAAATTTTACTTCTATTTTTAATTCCCCTTGAGTTAATAGTTGCTTTCATAGGAAAGAGGTTTGGAGTAAGATGTTGGAAATAAGTCCTCCAAGACTTTAGGTCAGTTGGTTCTTGTGGAGTAGTGTGGATTGCACTGGAAACAGCCTACATAGAGAAATTAAACCTAGACTACATTTAATGTAAAGAGACAATATAAAAATTTTAATTTTAATTCTTCTGGTCTTTCCTAGCACCTATTCATTACTTCTAGGGAAAAACTATAACTAAATGCTTAATCTTGTTTAAAGCAGTCCAATCTGATCTGTTAAAGAGACCCTTTAGACAGTGTTCAGTCTCTCTACGTAGGTGACTTCAATAGCTATCCCCCCAAGCCACCATGTTCCTCTCCTTCAGTGGGGGATGTATGCCTATGTGACATTGGAGTTTGTTGAGAAAGATGGGATCCTAGTCCTCAGCCTGTCTCCTCTACTTGTTGGTTGATGACTCCCATTCCTCAGGTCATTGACATCCTGCTGGTATCAACAAAGAGTCCACCAGCTGGCGCAACCCAGAGTTAACTTCTCAGTTGAGGCAGTGCCCTTTGGGGTGTCCCTTGGCAGTCTTCACCACACCTCAGCTCCCGCTGGTCAGAATTCTCTATGGCTGGTCTGGAAGTGACTTTCATTCAGTCCTAGAATATCAGCTGGAGTGTGTTTGGCTGTGTGTCAGAGAAACTTCACCAAAGTGGCTTAGCAAACAAAGGGTTCAAAATTTGATACAACGGTGGTGATGTAACTCTCCAAAGAACCTGAAAACTTGATTTTTGTCTCCTTACCTTCTCCACTATCCTCTGCAAGTAACTTCTGTAGCAAGACGACTGCTTCACCTTCAGCCTCATGTATGACTTACAGATGGAAAGAAGAAAGAAACAAAGAGGAAGACAGGACATTACTTGTATTACAAAAGCAAAACAAAGCAGGATTCCCTGCAGGACTTCTGCTTCTATATCTTGGTCATGTGTTTACCACAGCTACACAAAACACTGTGCAATTTAGTACATCACATGACACACCACTTTTATTTTTCTGACTAGAGATTTTATTTATTTATTTATTTATTTGAGAGAAAGAGAGAGAGAGAGAGAGAGAGAGAGAGAACACAAGTGGTGGGGAGGGACTGAGGGAGAGGGAGAAGTGGACTCCCTGCTGAGCATGGAGCCTGACCCAGGGACTTGATCCCAGGACTCTGGGATCATGATCTGAGCTGAAGGCAGCTGCTTAACCAACTGAGCCACCCAGGACCCCCACAAGGACTATGTTAAATACACAATCAAAATAAGTCTCTGTCATGCCTTGAGACACTTTCTGAATCTGCTAGCAAAAGAAATGCTCAAGCTTTCTTAAGAGTCCATTGAGTCTGGGAAAGATGAGTGTCATGGTCTCCACACTGGGAGACTGTCGTACATGGGCATCTGATTTAGAGAATCTCCAACCAGAGGACAAGCGTCCAGACAAACCTGAGACGGTGTCCTCTGATTTCTGATTGTCCTCCAGCACTGTCTCCCCCACCTCCATTTCTCACCGCTCCCAGAAGAAGGTAGCTAGAGACCCACTGTCACACGGCTCAGAGAAAGGAAACAAGTAGTATATTGGAAGGCATTTTGCCCCCATCTGCTCCTCTTCTGTTTCCATCAGTTAGTCAGAGTCCCCAGAAGCACCTAGAACCTCAAAGAAGCTGAGGGGCACCTGAGGCACATCCATGTCCTTACGCACTCAGACGGCCAGAGCCAGACCCCCATCCTGTCCTCTTCACCAATCCCAGGTGGCTTTTCACGGACCCTGTCCGTAGGAAGAGCCCTCCAAAAAGACACCCTCCTGTTGCAGAGGTTTCCCCCTCAGCCAGGCAGGCTACTCCCTGCAGAGTTTAAGTCCTTCAACTTCTTCCTTTGCAGGTGCACTGGAAGGGATGCTGAGGGCCTCAGGGTGTGAACGGGGAATTGGGGAACGCATCCGCCTCTCCGCGCATCAGACACCCGGCAGGAGCCTGGCATGGACAGTGACCCCCCTGGGGATGGAGAGAGCAAGGGACACGCAGGCAGCAGGCTCCAGGAGCCCGCGGTCCTGCGTGACCTCAAATGGGCTCCCTGCTGAGCAGATGTCTGTGAACCTTCTCGAATTCCTTCTGCAATTGGCACAGTCCCTCCAGCAGGGGCTCCGGGGGGGGGGGGGGGGGGGGGGGCTCGGAACCCTGCCCTGGGTGAATCTGCGTGTCCCGCGCGGCCCCGAGCAGGCTGCGCTGCTGGGAGTACCGGTAGGCCGGGGGGCTGTAGGGGCGGCCCTCGTTTTCCCACAGGACGCCATCGACCACCTGCAGCAGCTCCCGCGCCTCGCGCACACCGCGTCCAGCTGGGGCAGGTGCTGGTTGTCCGCACGTTCTCCTCCAGCGAGCCGCACTCCAGGGCCGCCACGCGCGTGAACACCAGCACCGAGTGCGCCAGGACGCGCACCCCGAAGGCCTCCTGCTGCAGGCGCCGCACGACCCGCCGGTCCTCCTTGGCGAAGCAGCCCAGCTGCGTCACCAGCAGCACCGCGTGCGGTCCGGGTGCCCAGAAGGCCACCGCCTCGCACATGGCCCGCACCGCCGCCTCCGGCCCCGACCAGTGGGAACAGGACGTCGGGTGTGTCGACTCCCTCGAGCTCCCTCCGTGCCCAGCCGCGGACGCTGCGCTGGAGGGTAAGGGTCCCCAGGCCCTGCTGAGCTTAGACTCGAACTCTCTCCTGCCCAGGATGCTGTTTCCGGTGACGCTTTTCCCACTGCCCGTTTTCCCCACCTGGAGCAGCCTCAGAGACCGGGCTCCGTGGCCCCCCCAGCCCCCCGCCGGCCCGGCCCAGGAGCACCAAGTCAGCGAGGCAAAGCAGAGGGAGCCGGGGTTAGAGCCAAGAGGGGTGTGGGTGGGAGAGGGGAAGACTTGGAGTGTGCCCCGGAGCCGGCGGGGCTCACTTTCTGTCTTGCTTTTTAAAAGCTTATTATTATTATTATTATAAAATACAATGTGCAATTTGCCATCGAACTCATTTTGAAGCGGGCCACTCGGTGGCGCTCAGGCCGTTCACAGTGTTGCACAGTCATCTGCGCTGTGCGTCTCAAGCGCGTTTTCATCATCCCAAACTGTGATTGTATTTGCTTTTCTGGGCCTGGCTTACGCCACTCAGCAGGATGTTTCTGGGTTCATCCGTGTTGCAGCCCGCGTCAGAATTCCCCTCCTTGTGAAGGCTGAGGAGAACTCCGTTGCAGGTACAGAGCACGGTTCTTTCTTCATGTACATCTGTGAGCAGCTGGGTTGTTTCCACCTTTCACTACGGTGCACGGTGCTGCCGTGAACCTTAGAGCACACGTCTCCGAGTCCCTGCTCCTCGTTCGGTGGTATCTACCCAGAAGGGAGGTGCTGGGTAGCGCCATTTGGAAACTCCTTCTCAGGGCCTCTCTTCTCACCCAGCTGGGAATGAGCCCAGCACGGATATGGGAGCCTGAGCTTTGCTGAACATCCCTGATGGAAGATCCTCCTCAGTAAGAGAAGGAAGAAAAGAAGAACGTGGCCTCTGCAGCTACGACTTCCCCCTGAGGCAACCGGCTGCATCTCCTTCTTCAGCCTTTCCCACTGGGAATGCTGTGAATGCGGGACCACCTCAGCCAGACCCCAGGCTCCAAGCGCAGGGCCATGCTGGGTCCACGTTCTTAGGCAACACCTTACAGATTGGGCTGGACGTTCTCATCCAGCAGAATATGAGAAGCAAGAGCTGAGAGAAATGACTGGGAGATGCCAATTGAGTACTGAGAAATGCAGTGTCAGTGGGGCTGAGGGACGGAAAAGGTAGCTCCCTTCTGGCCTTCCAGATCCCAGACCCAGAGCACAGAAATGCCGAACAGCAGCGGGTTTCCGAGTCTGCTCCCCACGGAAGAGACGGGTGTGTCTCGGCGACAGAGCGTCAAGCCTCCTGAAGGCGTCGGCAGCGTCTTCCTCTCGCTCTCCTGAGCGGCCACAGGCTTCCCTGCTGCCTGTCATGCTGCCAATGCTGAGCGAATGGCTTTGCCTCCCTCCAGCTTCCGCCGGCTCGACAGGAATGTGGGTGGGTGGCTGGGAGTGTCAAGGAAGCTCGGAGGGTGGTGCTCCTCCCTGCCCTCCTGGCCAGCGCAAAGCGAGACAGTGACAGCAGCTCCCATCCGGGCCGGCCTGGAGCTGGAGCAGGCCAAGAACTTTAATGTATCACTTGGGCTCTGTCTGGGGAGGACTTTTCAAGTAACAGTTAACCTTGACCGCTGCAAGAAAACGTACATCGGGGTGCCAGATGGCTCAGTCATTAAGCATCTGCCTTTGGCTCAGGGCATGATCCCAGGGTCCTGGGATTGAACCCTGCATCGGGCTCCCTGCTAGGCAGGAAGCCTGCTTCTCCTTTTCCCCCTCCCCCTGCTTGTTCCCTCTCTCGCTGTGTTTCTCTCTGTCAAATGAATAAATAAAATCTTAGGAAAAAAACAAAAAAGAAGAAAAGGAAAATCAATTGTCAGCACTTATATTGGCAATTTTCTTATGTGGTTTAGTAAAACGGCACTCTCCTGGTAGCTTAGTCCTGGTGGTTCTTGGAGTAAAAAAAAAAAAAGCATTTGTGTTAAAATACACAATGAATCACAAGTAATTTCTGCTGGCCAGGAAAACAGATGGATTTCCAGCATTCCCAGATTCTATCTCCCCAGGTTAAATGACAACGTTGAGCTCTTGGAAGTCCAGCCAGCGCCTGACCTTGATGCAATAGCTCTTAGGGGACAGAGCCCTGTGGGAAAACAAGCCCAGTTCTGAGGCAGAGGTCGGCCGAGGACATCCTGCTTGTTCCCGTGGCACTCTGCAAACCATAGGACCCCACGAGCTCTCACAGGGGATCCAGCCAAGCACCTGCACGGGGTCTGTTGGCTTCAGAGCCTCAGGCCCGGGTGAGCCTTTGGTCACACTGACCGTCAGCACATCCTTCCCAAGGACAAAAGCCCAGAACGCACAGATCCTTTTCCTTGGGCCTGGCACAGAGATTTAGTAAAGGGGGCAAGTGGCACTATGTCTCCCTTTCCTTTCACCTGCTCTGCCTGTCAGGGAGCTTTCCTTTGGCTGTGGTCAAGAAAGGCCTTCGATGGCAGCCCAGGGGCTCACATCTCTGACCGGGATGAGCCCCGCTGTGGGTCCCAGTGGACCACCTACCCTCTGAATGTCCCATCCACATCCCTCTCACATTAATTTCTGCTAGAAAGTAGTTTATCTCCTAAAATGTCTCGTCTAGGATCCTGACACAGTGCTCCTTCGGGGTTGTCCTCGAAAACATGTCCGTCTTCTTCTTCCTCTGCCTAGAGAAAATCATAATCTGTCTTATTAGTTTTTCAACAATTTTAACACCTGACTTTTGCCTTTCTCCTGCCAGAAGAATTGGTTTGAGGGGGAGCAGGCTGAATGAGGAGAGGGAGGTCTGAGGGAACCCCACTTCCTTCGCTCCCCTTTCCCCCGCCCCCAGAGCTGTGGTCTCACCTGTCATTCTAAGAGATTTCCTGGAAATGGTGAGTGGCCCTGGCCTCTCAGGAGCAGGTGGCATTTGGACAGACAAGGACCTGGAGCAATTCTGCGAGGACGGAAAGGAGCAGAGAGCAGAGGCCGCTCTGACCCTGGGTCCTGAGAGCAATGGAAAGATCTGGAGGGCACGGGCAGGAAGTTGTGGCAAGGAGCTGGCATGGCTCGGCGTGGTGAGTCACAAGGGTCTTGGACTACAAAGAGCAGTGCAGGCCTGACCTTGGGGAAGGTTCGGCAGTGAGGATTGCGGAAGGCAACGGGTGGGTGGCTGGTTTCTGCGGTGAAGATGACAGGGAGGGGGCCTTCAGGGTGTGGGCCAGAGACCTGCTGGGAGCCAGGGGACCTCAGTGCTCATGTCCAGCCACCATTAGTTCGGACAGCCACACTGCCTGGGCCTTAGTGTCCCCAGGAGTGTGAATGCTGGGCCTAAACTAAGTGTTCCTGTGGTCTCTTCCCCTGGGAGATTCCAACACACTCTATGACAATTTCTAGAGCAACTCCTAGTCCTCCTTGCCAAGTATGGCCATGTCTCTCCAACCAGGAACACAACACACGCTCACACTCACAAACATACAAACACTCACTCACAAACATATACACACAAATGCAACACACACCCACACTCACAAACACCACACACACCCACACTCACAATAATGCAAACACACCCTCACAAATATACACACACCCCCACAATCACAAATGCAACACACACTGACACAAACACAACACACACCTATACTCACAAACATAGCACGCATTCAGAAACATACATGCAAAACACAGCACACACACTACATAGACACAGAAACACAACACACACCCACACTCACAAACATACAAACACACACTCACATATACAGATACCACCTACACACCTACTCTCAAAGCATACCACACACACATTCACAAATATGTGAACACATATAAACATACACACAAATGCATACACATAAACTCACATAGACACAAACATAAGACACACAGAAACACATAGCACAGCCACACACACACATAAACACACACACACACACAAACACATCTCACATACTCCATCCAACAACTCCCAAACACAACACATACTCACACAAACACAACACACACGGAAACATACATACTTGACACATACAAGCACAGACACAACACACACGCACACAGACACACTCCCCCACACACTTGGACTCACTGTTGGAGTCCATTATCAAAGGAATGAGACTGAGATGAGGTGAAAGTTATATTCAAAGCTTTATTCTGTGCCAAGCATTAGACGTCAGACTGACCGGCCAGGGCCATCTCCGAAGAGAGCGGCCCCTCCCCGTCTTACAGGCTACCTTTTATTGGGTAAAACTGCAACCCGTATCTTGGTATCTCAACCCACCGGGTTTGTGTGTCTCTTGCTGATTGGCTAGTTCCATCCGGTCTGGTGACTTGTTATTCAAGATTATCCCATATCAGGAACCGTTACAAACCGTACTTCCCGGGAAGGCTTAGTCAGCTAACATATTCAGTGTCAATAATACGGTGGTCGTCCTTCCCCAGATGGAGTCCTTTTGGTTTGGGCAAGACCTTCTCACTGTTACAAACAGTACTTCGTACTGATCGGATGTCTCCATCTGGCCTGACGCGTCCTTGTATTCTGGGCTCCGTTATCAGGAACTGGCTGACTGCATTTTACTGGCTTCCCGGACTTGTTTCTAAGTAAGTTTCTCTGGGCGGAGCGGGGCAGGGTCAATTTACGTTTACTGCTCAGACAACAAAATGGCTGTTTAACCGAGATGGAGTCGCTCTGGCTACATAGGCCCTTACCCTCATCACTCTGTCAGCCGTTGGGCAAGAGGAACGGCAGTGTTTTCTGTCTCCTGGGGTCACGTGCTCTTATGAATTCTTTGTTTTTCCCTTTGGGGCTGACGCATCCTGGACTTTGGGGGATCTTGAACGGAGGAGGTAGAGGAGAGTGTCCACGGCATATGAACAGAGGAGGGACATGGCTTCTGTTTTTCAGCAAAATGGGGCGAGAAAGCTCAGCTCCAGAACTGCCCTTGAACAAGCGGCTGTGGCTGTGGGGGAGGAGCAGGAGGTGAACGGGACACCCCGGCCGGGCTCTCCTCAGTCAGAAGACCTGCCATTCGCTTTTTCTCTGCAGCTGTGGTAGCATGAACAGGAAAAACAAGAAACCAGTGTTGTTATTATTTTGATCCTGAAGGAGGACAACGAGATCTCAGAGGCTTAGAAAGAAGCAACAGATCCTGCAGGAAATTTTGTGCCAGGGGCGGGATTTTGTACGGATCTCCATTTTGAGCAAGTTCCCGCTTCCTACAGATATCCCCGGTCTTTCACCATCGTGGCAGATACCTTTTGTCTCCTCCTCCCTCCTTAATTCCAACGTCCTTTAAGTATTTTCTCTCAGGACAAGGACCGGAACAGAAGCACTGGTCCTTCCTGGGTCCTGAGCCACCCCCATCCTCAGACTGGAGTTGCCCCAGCAGCTCCCCTGGGCCTCCAGCCCCTGGCACTGTGGGCCTTGGGACTTGTCAGCTGCACAACAGTTGAGCCAATCCCTTAGGATAAATCATGTAGGGGCACCTGGGTGGCTCAGTGGGTTAAGCCTCTGCCGTTGGCTCAGGTCATGATCTCAGGGTCCTGGGATCGAGTCCCGTATCGGGCTCTCTGCTCAGTGGAGAGCCTGCTCCCCCCTCTCTGTCTGCCTGCCTCTCTGCCTATTTGTGATCTCTCTGTCTGTCAAATAAATAAATAAAATCTTAAAAAAAAAGAATAAATCACATAGCCAATTCTTTATAATAAAACTCTTTATGTATGTGTACACACACACACACACAAACACGTGTAACAATCCCAAAATCTGAGTCCTATCTGAGTCTGGTTTGCTCTGTGTGTCCAGACTGTCCTTGCTTCTCAGCGTGCCTTGCGCCGACGTGCCAAGCTGGACTCGACCTACGGGAATCCGGAAGTGAGGTAAGGAGGGCTGCAGTAGGAGCGTGTGTCTTCATCTGTCTGGGAGTCGGGCTGTGCTCATGTTTGCTGCAGCCATAAGTGCAGGCGGTTTTCTCCAGGACTCCTGTCTCATTTCGTTGTTGTCTGTGGGTTTCCCTAAGAAGCCCTTCTTAAATAGAGTTTGTGCCTTGCTGGTCTTTTGGCTTTAAGTCACTGTTTTTACACCAAAGCCCTGTCAGTGTGGTAGCAGGAATGGGTGGGGGAAGCACGATCTTGAAATTAAATCACCCTCTCTTAGTGGGTCTGTGACAGGCTGTGATCATCACAATTTACTGAGCTTTCCCTCCCCCCATCCCCACTTTGGATGAAATGGATGATCTGGTCAATTCCCACCTGTGTATCACCATTTGATTCCAGCCTCTCTCTTCTCCCCTCTGCTCTGGTCTTAGTGGACTTCCTTTATTTATTTACTTGAATGCCTCATCCCATCTTTGTTCTCAGAAGCTGCTGTGACGAGCTGGAACTAAGATGCTTCTCTGGGAAGGTGCTCAATTAATAAAAAGATTTGGCTACGCATTTTGGAGGTTTAATGGAGATTTGGAGGTTTAAAAGGTTCATTATTAACACCATTTTCAATGTTTAAGGGAAATATACACTAAAACCATAAAAGACAAATAAATTGCATGTATAAAAACATAAGGTGGATATAAAATTATCATTTTATATGATTTTATATCTGGAAAAATCAAAAGACTAAACCAAGGGGCACCTGGTGGCTTTGTCAGATAAGCATCCAACTCTTGATTTCAGGTCAAGTCATGATCTCAGGGTCCTGGGATTGAGCCCCACATCGGGCTCCGTGCTCCTGCTGGAGTCTGCTTGAGATTTTCTTTCTCCCTCTCCCTCTGCCACTTCCCCTACACACACACACACACACACACACACACACATTTTCCTTAAAATAAATAAATCTTAAAAGAAGGAAAAAACCAATAAGCTCCTATAAGTGATCAGAAAACCTGATAAATTAATGAATGCTATTGAAATAAAAACCATAAGAACTGACTAACATACAAACAATAACTAATTAGACATAACTTGTGATTTAAAGGATAATAATCCCTCCCAGCAACAACAAAAAATAAAATGCCTAAAAATAGACTTGAAAATTGTGCAAACATTCTGTATAAAGGAAACTTCTGGGGCTCTGGAGCAAATAGAACTCTCACATGACGTCTGGTGAAAATGTAAATTGGTAGAACCTCTTTGGGAAAGTCCATAGTACCCAGGAAACCCAGATATTACACATAATCAGTACTGAGCTATCCTCCCAGAGGGACACACCCAGCAGACATATGCGATTCCTTTCCATGCAAGGAAATGTCTGTGATATTTATAGTGGTGGTACTCAGAATAGCACAAAAACTGGAAACAATGTTAGTGCCCACCAAGGGGCAAGTGTTCTCCCAAAGAGAGAAAGAAGGAAAAATGGTAACTGTGCGAGGAGGTGGATATGTTAATTAGCTTGATTGTGGTGACTATTTCTCAGTGTATGCTTATATCAAATCATCAAGTTGTGTACCTTGAATAGATACATTTTTTATTTGCCAATTTTTAAAAACTGTCAATAAGTGATTTTTATTTTTCAAAGTTATACCTCAATATAATTGGATGTATTGCTGGAAATATAGCTGGAAAATAAAGTAAAAAACAGACTATACATTTAACGTAATTCCTGTCAAAATACCACCAACTTTTCCAGAGAACTGGAACGAATAATCCTAAAATTTTTATGGAACCAGAAAAGACCCCAAATAGCAAAAAAGAATTTTGAAAAAGAAAACCAAAGCTTGTGGCATCACCACTTCAAGCTCCTTTACAAAGTTGTAATCATCAAGACAGTATGACACTGGCACAAAAACAGACACGTAGATGGGTGGAACAGAATAGAGAGCCCAGAAATGAACCCACAACTGTATGATCAATTAATCTTCGACAAAACAGGAAAGAATATCCAATGGAAAAAAGACAGTCTCTTTAAGAACAGGGTTCTCCCCTACATGCTGATGTTCAGGGTAAGGCAGGGCCATGACCTTTTCACTGTTGTGTCACCAGCTCTTTGGACCTTGCCTGACTCACCATAGGTAGTTACACCTGCTCGATAAATGAAAGAAGGAAGGAAGGAACGAACGAATTCTGTTTGGGACTCTTTCAGGCAAGCATGGGAGGATGGAAGATGGCAAGAGATGAAGAAAATGCCTATGGTCAGAATGTGCTCGTGGTGTGTACTTGGTGTGTACTTGGACTAACTCAAGACTGAACAGACACGAATCCCAGAGGTGTCTCCATGCTGGGGGGAGACAGCAAGAGCCCTGATTTGCCTCTGAGCCTGCCCTACTGAGAGATAGTCAGTGCTTTGACTACTCTGTGCCTCCACACCACAAGGGTAAACTGAGGATAAGAAATCTACTCTGACCCCCACAGACTAGGAGGTAGAAGGAATGAGATCATGAACTAGAGGGAACATGATTTACCAAGTAGAATGTGCTAGAGAACAAGGATTGGGGCCTAGCAGGTATCTTCCTGCCAGCAGGTGTAAGAGAGGGAGGAGGGGAAGGCCAAAGGCAGGAGGAAGGGCTGTCTCTGAGCCGCCCGGAGAATCAGCTGTCACCTCTCCTCTGTCACCTCTCCCCTCCCTGCAGAAGAGGTTTAACACTCTGATGAAGCAGCTTCCCCGAGAGTCACTCAGCGGGCAAAGCTGGGACTGAGATTCCAGCCCAGGGTGGCCGGGCCTCCAGACACCCCTTCACTCGAAGGCCTCCCGTTCCCTCCCTCCTCTCCTGGCTGGGGCGGCATCCCGGAGAAGCATTCCAGAGGCCAGGGCAGGCGCACAGCGTGGATGCCAGAGATTGTGTCAGCAGAAGCCAGGGCCTGCCATCGTCGACGGGTGCTCTCCAGAGAGCGGCGCAAAGCTGCTGGAGCGGGTACCGGTGCATGCGCTGCAGCCGAAGACAAGAGAGACGGGGAGAGACAGACGCCCCTGAGTGGAACAAGCTCAGACCGGAGCCCCGAGGAAAGGCTCGGTTGGAGAAGCAGAAGCCCAAGGCCTGGCGCTCTCCTGTGCGCCACAGACACCCCTGAGGCCCGGGAGAGCGGGAGGCGGGCTCCCCTTCGCTCCGAGGGCTCTGAGGGGGCAGCCCACGCCTACTCCGTCCTCACGGGTCCCCAGGACTGGGACGACGCGCCGCCCGCGCACGAGCCCCGCCTCGGGCTCATCCTGGCCGGCAAGACCGGCGCGGGCAAAAGCGCCACCGGCAGCAGCATCCTGGGCCACACGCGCT